AGGGTGAGGTCATCCAGGGCAGCAGCGTCCTTGTGTCATGGTTAAGTTAAACCTTCTCTTTGTTTTACTGTTCATCATGGTTTATGTTAATAGTTGATTGTTGGGACTGAAACAGCTTGGGGTTGGCCCCTGACCTTGACAGGAGTGACCTGACCCAATGTGTGGTGTGTTCCCCTCCTAAACAGCTCCCAGACCCTGAGGAGGGTTTGTCTAAGAGTGTGTCCAGTAGTGCTATATGCAGTTAAGAGAAAGGAAACAGTGACCTGGCCTTCCTCCCCCGTGCTTTGCCCCCCAGAGAAACCCCAAAGTGACCCCAAATTGCACGCCCTAGCTGCTGGGGGCAGGGCGGAGCATCCCCTAATACAACTCCTGGTTTGTTAATGGTGGAGAAAGATGAATGGGTAAATATGTCAGTTTGATATAAAAAGGATGACTGTAATAATAAAATAACAAAAAGTTTTGATCATATAAATACAATATATACTTTTGCATACACATATTTATTTGTACCCAGATATATATGTGTACACATATTCATAAAGCAAAAATAAATGAAATTAACAAATGAGTAGATCATTAGAGAGAGGAAAAGGAAAAAAGAAGGGGGGATTAGGTTATATTCTCTGTTAATCTGTTTGATTGATAGGTGTGACAAACTCAAATGTGCACCATGTACCTGTACTCAGTGTTGTGCACCAATGTGCTCAAAGAGTGCTGTTCATTGAACATGCTTATTTTTCCATCAACTGAACGGATCACTGTGCAACTAAATAACACGCAGTTGAGTTTTGTTAATGTGTGAGGTGATAAATGTGAACGGCAAAGGCTTCATTCAGTACAGAGATCTACTGTAACACCGATGTGCTAAAACAAAACTCCCTCTCCAAGTTTCTGCCCCATGTCAGCATCCGTGTATCCTGTTAACACAGAGCAACACACCACCCACTCTTGCTACACGTAGAGTGGAGGGGGGACGGCAGTGAGACAGAGATTCACTGGCAAAGAATATCCAGGCATGGCCATAGTAGTATTTATATATCACTGTATCCACACTACACTTCACATACAATAGCCTCTTTAGCAGAAATCATTCTCTAAATTACGTAATTAATAGAAACTATTGGCCACTAAATTTCCTTCCTTCCCTTTTTGGGTGAGGATTGGTAACAGTCAAACTTCCTGTATCAAAGGGCTTTCAACCTGAGCTCTAAATATTGATTGATTGAAAATTGATTCTTCTAAATTCTCCACTGTTATTAGCTGCGTTTAATTTTGTTAGCCTGAACATTTTCACCACACCTGACTCCTGATATAAGTTTTAGTTTTAGCAGTTGCATGATTTGTATCTGCAGTAAATACAGGGTACAGTGTTGAAGGCTAAATGTTTTGACTGTTATTTCTTTTAATCCTATTGCCATGGATGTATCATCAGAATCAGAATCAGCTTTATTGGCCAGGTGTGTTGGACACATGAGGAATTTGACTCTGGTACATTGGGTCTCAATGTGTATGTACATGTCCTTATGTAAGGCAGCCAAGTAAATCTTAAGGTCAAGTAAACAATATAAGGCTGAGAGAACAGAAAGGAAAGAACACAATGTGTAAACAAGCAAAAGGAACGTGCATTAAGAAATAAAAAAGTACTTATAAATAGAGACCTGTGTACTTATAAATAGGGACCTGTATATACACACAGTCTAGATGCATTTAATTGATTTATATGTACAAGGCATATTTACAGGTGTTGCACTGAGGGTTATTGTCCAGTCATACTGTCGTGGGTCAAGTGTTTATCAGAGTGACAGCCTGGGGGAAGAAACTGTCCCTGTGCCTGGTTGTCTTGGTGCACAGTGACCTGTAACGCTGTCCAGAGGGGAGGAGTTCAAACAGATTGTGTCCAGGGTGTGAGGGGTCAGCAGTGATCCTCTCCACCCTCCTTTTGACCCGTGAGGTGTACAGGTCCTCCATGGAGGGCAGGCTCACACCAATGACCTTTTCTACAGTCCTCACTGTCCGCTGAAGTCTGTACTTGTCCTGTTTGGTGGCTGAGCCAAACCAGACAGTGATGGAGGTGCAGAGAACAGACTCGATGATTCCTCTGTAGAACTGTATCAACAGCTCCTGGGGCAGGTTGAACTTCCTGAGCTGACGCAGGAAGTACATCCTCTGCTGTGCCTTCTTGGTGATGGTCCTGATGTTGGACGTCCACTTTAGGTCCTGGGAGAAAGTGGAGCCCAGGAACCTGAAGGACTTTAGTGTACCTCTACAGAGAGAGAGACACACACACACACACACACACTCAGTATTGTTTTCTCTTTTTCTCAGACATTGTAGCTCTGTGGAGGCTTGCAACTGTGTCCATGCGTATCATAGCAGGTTGTCACTTCCTCCAACATTTCCTGCGTTTATCACAGGAGGTCATTAATAAACAGACTCGCATGTTTGCACTCAGACACGCAGTTATTTTCAAGATGCACTGTACATGGCTACTGCCATCTAACACATTTGAACACTTTTAAGTTGTGAGGTGAACAGTGGAAAGAGACTGTCACACAATCCATTTTGATCCTTAACATTTCACAGGAAATGTAATTTTAGACCTGACAACTTGAGCTGAAGAAAACATTAGACGCTGTCTCAGGCATTAAGGAAATTCATCTTTTTGTGTCCTCTTTTATTTTTACTTCTTGATAAATCTTTACAATCTTGATAAATGGGTGTGTAGCTGACTGTAAAACATCACAAGGGGCCAAAAATGGGTCATGTTGATTTAAAATCTACTTGAGCCAAAACAAAACTGACATTGCCAGAGTTTATGGCAAACCAAACTTTTCATTTCCAATTAAAACCAAATAAAACTGTCTTTTGATTCATGTCCTTCCTCCCACACTGTACCCATCTCCTGAATACTAAGATTAGTATTCAGGGCATAACCTACACATGCAATGATTAGTTAGATGTAAAGTATTGTCCAGCTAAACACAAAGGATTTATAATTTAATGTTTGTGTTTAATCCCAAAGTGCCACTGCCATTCATCAACCTGCAGTATAGCTGAAGCTGTGTCGTAATTGGCTGTGAAGACTTTAAATTCTTTTTACTTTAGTAAGAGCAGAAAGACAGTACAATGTGTGTGTAC